CCCCAAAACCCCAAAACCCCAAAACCCCAAAACCCCGAGGCTTATTCTGATCATTGATTAGTTTAAAGTAGGGTTTTTAGTAAATTACAGATTAATCATCTAACTGGCAGAGAAGAGCCACTCCTCTATTGATCCAGAATTCAGGTTTTTGCTCAGTATGCAAAGCCAAATACATAATGAAATTTGTAGAGTGTCCAGTTGTACTAAGTTCTCCTTTACGAAGTGATGTTTTGTAGAGAGGGCATTTGTAAGCTCTATCGTCATCCTTAGTAGTCTCAAGAATTGGTTCAAGCCAAATAATTGGGACTTCTACGAACAAAACTCCCTTCTTACTATCAGCTAGTTTACCTTCGTTAACATTCCATCTTGCACCTTGAAGGTAAAGACCATGAATGTTCACACCATATTCTGGAGGCTCTTTCAAGTCCTTATTGAATTCTTTTCTAAGATGAGTCTTGAATTTAAGTGTATCAATAGCAATCTGGTTCTTTCTTGAGTAAGTCTGTAAAGAAGCAGTCATGAAACCTTGAGGGAAGAAGAATGCAGGTAATAAGTAACTCTTTGGAGGTCCCTCATACAGCCAACTACTCATGAATTCAATTCTTAAAATAAGATCATCCATCCAAGATCCGAGTGGTTTTAAACTTGGGTATCCAACGTCTTCCCAGTTTCCTGGAACTCTCTTGTCAATAATATCATTGAACATCTTTTCTAGCTCAAAAGACATAACAACTGTTCCTTTGATTGCTTCACCAAGATCGGAAAGCGTTTTCTTCATAACTTTTAGTAGGATATTGAATCTATCAATTTCTTGATCAAGGAAGACTCCGAGGGACTCCAATGAGCCATTATCAGTAATGATAAAACTATTTTCATGAGCTCTCTTTTTATCAAGAATTTCAGGGACAAGGTTGAGCATTCTCGCAGCTTCACCAGCAACTATTTCTTCAGGAGTAGAAACATTTGATCCCTTTACAGCAGTTCTAGGTTGGATCAAGATCAGCATATTCAGGAATTCGCTCACTGTTTTCTTCTTGAAGGTAATATTAGCATTTGGATGTAAACCAAAGATTTCTGGATCGTCTTCAAGAGGCAGAGTGTTAATGTAATCCTTAGCCTGACTGAGGCTTCCCTCCTTTGGAGCATAGTAAGTGTCCAATAAAGATAATTTATACTCATCTCTTAGAATATCAGGAGTGAAGTATCTCTTTAATAGAGACTTTATAAGTTCAACATCCTTATCATCTGTGACTCTTCCACCATAGTTTATTTCAGCAACTAAGTAATTCAAAGCTGTGTAAGGAACTTCTGGTTGTTGATTCAGGAACATTTTAAGCTGAGCCTCAGATATAAAGAAATCAGAGTTCATCCATTCATATGAAATATTCCAACCAATAGCTCCGAATTTTCTTCTTTCAAGGATTACAGCATGGAAATAAGCTAGAGCAAAGATCAATTTCTTGTACTCTTTAGGTTTATCACATTCTTCATATTGAGCTTCAGTGATTTCATTGAAGGTTCTCTTCAAATTGGCTTTCAATCCCTTAGGAGGCTCATTTGTCAACTTAATTCCACTCTGAAGTACTGGGACTGGGAACACAGAAGTTGGCATTGATGTTAACCAGAGTCTATACTCTGGATTAGTGGTCTCTTCATTCTGCGCTTCCTGGATTCTTTCAAGTTCTGGCATCCATGAAGAAGACAAGTGACAGTTTTGCAATCAGATCCATTCTCCCTCAGCTTGACCACTTTGAATGTAGGCTTCGGCTATGGGTCCTTGTCCCTGTCCTAACGAGAGAATCTTAAGTTTTTCTTCCATTCCAAATTGCTTTGCCAAATTCTGAAGGTTAGGAATTGGGTCAGCTCCTGGTGACAAAATGAAGATCAATGGAGAAGTACTCGTACTATCAGAGAAGGCTGCTGGAAGATCAAATGGAGGACTCTCAATGAACTCATCAGATAGCTCTCTCCTAATGAATTCCTTAACATACAATAACACGTTTTCTTCCTTCAATATCTTCCTGATGATTAACTTCTGGAACTCAGTAAGAGAGTCTTCGTATTTTGAAGGGAATGACAGCTTAGATGGGTCTTCTGAAGAGACTAAGTCCTTCCAGTATACTGTATCAGCTAAAAAGTTAGTATTAGTAAACCTTACCAGCATCAACAAGGGATTCCTTCATTCCGCCAAAGTTTGCATGCACAGTTTCAAGTGAAATCAGGTTATAGTAAATATCATCTGAGAATTCTGTTGGATTTTCTTCGTCAGGGAGCTGAGCTGGCCCTCTTGTAAAGAAATTCATCTCTTCTGGTGTAATACGGTTTCTATAAATGTTAAATATTATCACTTACTCTCTGATCAAAATGTTAGTGCTGTTCAAGAATGAATAAGTAAGCTTATCCTTTTCGAAAATACCTCTACAAATATTTGTATAAAATTGGATTGTAATATCTTCTATCAAGATCTGAAGTCTCTCTTCTAGAACATCTGATTTTGTAGAAACAGCTAATCTTCTATTGAAAAGTTGAGAGAAGAAAGCAAGAGAATATTGGTACATTGGATCCATAAGGGCTATACTAGCAATAACAAAGTATAAGACTGATCCCCTGACGGCTACATCTCTGTAAAGCTCTCTGTTTGCATTAATTTCTTTGGTCATTTCTTCAGCTTCTTTCATTCGTTCGTTGATCATGACAGAAGTTTCTTTAGATTGTTCAAGAGTATTGATTAATTCTTCATCATTAAGAATGTCTTCATCAGCTTCAGACACAAGTCTCAAGATTTTATCTTCAATTTCCTTAAGCTGTCTCTTCAACTCTGCAGATTTTGTGATAAGCTGATCTTTCTGTTCTTCAAGATCAGGTCTTTCATATCTGACGACATCTACTAACAACTGGTCTTCGAGACCTTCAGGAGTAACTGTGAAGTTGATAATTGTTACCTTGATGCATACTTCTGGTAAATAGTGAGGGTTGGGAAGCTTTGTTGTGATCGTTAAATTGAATTCATTACTGTATGGGATTTCATTATCTCCAAGTTTCAAAACCCACTGTCCTCCTCTCTTGAATATCTGTTTCAATAGAATTGGTTCAAGTGCAGGATCAAGTTCTTCCCCAGCATTTTCGATTAAAACAGGAGCTCCTAATCTGATAGCATTTTCAAGAGTCTGCAGGTACTTTGGTTGAGATTGTTTTACAATTTTGAGTCCTTCCTCTTTCTTAATCCATCTATTAGCCTGACTTTGAGGATCAATGAGAAGTGGCCATCTCTTTGCATTTGTAGTGTAAATGCCATTCTCAATACTCAAGCCATCAGCTGGCAATCCATTCAGATTCCATTCTCTGATAGTAACAGGATCTGCCAAGATTCTTTCTAAGCTCAGGTTGTTAGAAATTGGGATGTTATTTTGGGTACAGAATCTAATCCATGACTCCTTCAATTTGCTCCTGTATTTGCTAGTGAAAGGTCCAGTATATTGACAACAAGCAGCAGAGACCATAATATTTCCAACAAGATCGTGCAGATCAATATTGAGTTCTTCAACAGATTTCTCCCAACGTTTAGACTCACTTTCAAGCCCATTGAGCAACTTCTCAGCTCTGACAAGTTGAACCTCAATAAGTTCTTTTTGCTGAGTTAAGCTCTCCAAAGTCCTGAGTGAAGAGTTATAGTTAGCTTGCAAGAGAGCAATTTTATCTCTAATTTGTTGTAAAGAAGCTTCCTTCTCTGATAGTTCTTCCTTGGCCTTGTCAAGCTCAATCTCAGCTTTCTTAAGAGATGCCTTTTTAGGTTTGATGATTTTCATGACGTCAGAGTATTCAACCATTGCAATTACCCATTTACAGATACTTTCAGCGGCATTAGACTTAGCACCGACAATCTTTGGATCAAATTTAGACATTTTAGTATACTTTCTGACTTTCTTAATGATCTTTTCAGGGATATTATCTTTATCGTAATTCTCCAAATTCTCAAGGAACTTCTTTGGTTCATTCATAAGTTTCTTTCCTTCGTCCCAGTTTTCTGGCTTCTTATTAAAGATACAGACTGCACTTATAACCATGACTACCTCATCTGGTGGTTTAGGATAAGATTTCATTTCAACTATATCACTTTTGTTCAAGGTTTTCAAAGCTTTCAAGGCACTTTCATAAATAGGCATAGCTTTATCTAGTTCTTTCTGACAATCATTTCTGAGATCTTGTACATTTTCGAACAATTTTTGACTTTCTTCAGCTTCAACTTTGAATACTTTCTCAGTTTCAGCAGCAGACTGTTGTTGCTTCTCGAGATCAACAACTAATTTCTGGGTTTCCTCTTCTTTCTTGTCAATTTCGGGACGAAGTTTGGTCAGAGTAACCTGAAGTTGATCAACCATTGTTTTGATTTGAGCAAGTAGTCTCAAACCCTGGCTATATCTAGCAATATTTTGGGGTACTATTTCAGACTGTTCAGCCATCATTTCAAGATAGCATTTAATGAGGTCTAGGTATGATTTTGGAGTCGTGTAAGTTCTTCTTCTCAGCTCATCATAAAAGTTTTCAGCTTCTTTGCCTGCACTGTTATGGATCTCAACAGCCATTCTGCATAAAGCTTCTTTATATTCTACAATATTAAGTTCAGCTTCTTTTTCAGTGAAGAATCTATCAGCGACCGAATATAGGGCTTCTGCAGGCCATTTCTGGTACCAATCAATTGTACAGCAATTGATAATTGAAGGGAACTGCCTACATCTTTCTCTGAATTTTTCTCCAACAGGGGAGAATGTTAGAGTAATATGCAAATTCTGTCTACACAGAGAGGTGAACAAGTGCAAGATTTCATCTCTACCTTCTTTTCCTTGTGTTTTAGCAAATGGTCTTAGAGTGTCAACAATATTCTCGAATTCATCTGCAGCAAAGAGGTTGGGGACTTCACCAGCATTAAGAAGATTGTTAATATCTTCAAGGAATGATTCATTCAAGATTTGACTATCAGAGAAAATAAATACTTTCTCTTTGTTTTCAGCACCAACACTGAACAAAAGTTCCTTCAAATCTTCGTGCCATTCTTTCTCTCTGTAATTCTTGGAGATTTCAATGGAGAAGCAAGTCATTTCTTGCATGTGTCCTGCGAGTGTTGCCAGAGATCTTCTTCCTGAACCTCCAACTCCGACCATGAGAGCATTTCCTCTCTGAGATCTCAGGATTCTTGAGATTCTGCTTAAGTGATAAATTGCATCGTTAAAGAATACAAGATTCATTGGGGTTGTTGAGCTAACATTGTATGACTCAAGATAATCATTCAGTTTTGGCACAAGTGTTTCTGGCTCATCTAATTTCTTGTATTCTCTATCGATACCACTATCATAGTCTCCAAAGAGAATATCTACAAATTGCTTCTTCTCCCAGTCTACATTCAGATGTTTCTGCATGAGTTTGGTAACGATGTCGTTGAATTTCTCAATATCTTGTTGGTTGATCAATCTGTCTCTGAAGACTCTGAAGATTTCATGAACCCAGATGGATACAAGCATTTCCTTATCATCAAGATTTGAATGTTTAATTTGAAGAATACCCTGCACAACCTTGGACATATCTCTGAGGTTGAAAGTGTAATGTGACTTAGTAGGAGTGGGGAGGAAATCTTTAATTGTCTTTTCATAAATATCAACACTCGCTCTCACAACTGGGTCTGCAAACATATCGAGACTAGACTTTTGGTTTAGTTCAAGGAAACCTCTCAGAATCGAAGAGAAAATGAGCTCCATTGACTTTTTACTCAAGGCTGGGATCCAAATCATGTTGAAGTGTCTAAAAAGCCTTGGAGTGACAGCATTTCTACCTCCTCCTGGAGGAGCACAGGCAGTAACGAACTGAGTATCTCTGACTTCCTTGAATTTAAGAATTTCAAGATCATAGAAACCTCCAGAATCAATAGTCTGTCTAAGCAATTCTACTGGTGGTTGTGAGAAGAACTCATCATACTGAGGCATGTTTACATCATCGATGAAGAAGATCATCTTTCTTCCTCCTGGAGGTCCGAGCAAGGTCTTTCTTTTTTTCTCGAGCTTTGATTCGAAAGCATCCTTAAGGTTTTTACTGGTAGTCTTTCCAGAGAAGTTAATGAATCCTGAAGCATAAGCTTCGGCATCTGTCTTTACAAGGTAATCAGAGGTGATAACTGATTTTCCAACTCCAGTATCTCCAGAGATGAGAACATTATGGCTGTGGCTAAGAAGAGTATCAAGCATAAATTTGTATTTTACTGTATCTGATGTTGGCACAAGGATTGAGAAGAAGGATGCATCAGGATTATATTCAAACTTAGTGACTCTTTCATGCCATGATTCGAATGAATGAGTTGTTGGCTCGATTCCATAATCATAGACCTGCCCTTCATCTGGGAATTCACAATCAATCTCTATAATTCTTGACTTCATAAATCTATTGAATGCTTTCCTGCTATCATCGAACAAGTTTGCTCCAAGAGACCAGATAATAGAGAAAATAGTGTAGACTTTGACATCATTCTCTGGAGATACTGCTCTCTTCAGATCAACCTTTTTATTTTCAGGGTCCATTACAGATTCAAGAAGGTTCAAACAACTAGCAACAAGGTTATTATCCACAGATGAGATTACTTCTTTGCACTCTTCTCTAATATGAGTAAGTCCTTTCTTAAATACATTCTCTATTATTTTGCATGCTTGATTATAGTAAATAGCACAATCAGGGTCTAGCTCTGCCATTTTTGCTTTCCAAGTATCTACTAGTGGCTGCCATCCCAAATGAACAGGCTCAAGGTAGACCATACCACATCTTGATACAGTAGCTGGTGAAGCTACCTTTAGATCCATAACCTCGAAGATCATTGTAACTGTAGTTGGAAGCTTGATTCTTTGACCATTATTAAGACATAGAGTCTTGTTATCATCAAGTACTGTATTCATGTTCTCAATCCAGAGCGCATCTACTGGACCATCAAAGATGATCCATTTTAGATTGTCAGGCTTATCACTCTCTACTGCGTCATTCACAAGCTTAGAAACTAATCCATCAGTCCATTCATTAGTCATGAGGTCAGTGTATCCAAAAAGCTCATCTCTTGTCACAGCTTTTGGGTTAAGTCTGTATTGTTCAACCGGGCAATGCATTCTTTCTCTGGAGCCATCCTCATGCAGATCAGAAAGAGCATCAGCAAGGACTTCACATATAGTCGTTTTACCTGTAGAGGCTTCTCCAACAATCATGTTTCCATGTCTAACAAGCATAGTTTCAAGAAGCTGGATGGTCTTCTTGATCAGCTTAGGCACTAGTTGGTATTTTCTCTTAGTCAAATTCTCTTCAATCTTTGTCTGGACTTTTCCATAATCGATGAACTCGACTTCAACTCCTGGGAATAGATCTGTGATAATTCCATTGAACAAAGGAAGATCATGCTCTAAGAACTTAGGTACATTTGAATCTCTCATAGCTCTAATAAGCACAATATTTTCTTCAGAATCTGGCTCTTTTCTTCTCAAAGAACCCGCCATGACAAGGACTGACTTTACAGCTCTCATTCCAAAATCATAATGCTTCTGTTTACTCAACTGTTCTGATGAGAGTTTATAGAGTTGAACCATTTTTCTGGCAAGATCAAAGGCGGTTACAAATCCTTCTGAGAAAAGAATAATCTCTGCAATCAAGGCATAGTCAGGGATCATCATTGATACTGGTCTGAATAAAGCCTTTAAGTTATCAGGAAGCTCAGTTCTTCCAGCATATCCTGGGTTCATAGTAATAAATACTCCAAATCTTAAGTTAAGAGGAATTTCTTTATCAATAAAGAAGAATTTTTCCTTTTTCTGTTTAACAGCAGTCTGAATGGTAAGCATTTGCTGGGCAATAACAGACAACACTTCAATACCAATTCTGTTAAACTCATCGAAACATGACCATGCACCACCTTGAGCAAGTCCTGAGAAGAACCTAGCCATCATTTTATAGTCAAGACCATCAGAGCAATTAAACACGACACATTGAATTGCGAGAGCTTTAGCTAAATCTTTAGTTGACTCTGTCTTTCCGGTTCCAGCTGGTCCTTGAGGATTTCCTCCATAGTTCAAATGCAAAGCTCCAGTCAAGGTCATGTAACACTTATCTGTTAATGGAGTGATGACTAATCTTGGCCCATTTCCAAGGAATTCATATCCGTATCTAAATCTTGTATTGGTTTGTCTAGCGAAGCAGTCATCATCTTCCTCTTCCCAGTAATATCTCAATTGTTTGGACCATTCAAAATTATTGAGGTTGTTGACCTTTACTTCGATCATTTTTCTCACAACTTCTCTTGCATGTACATCAAGTACGATAAGAGCTCCCATGAGAGTTCTTTGATGATTTGTCAGATCACTTCTGACAATCTCAACCATTTTTCCAATTTGTTCAATTGAGAAATCGAGCCATTCTTGTAGAGCCTTCTTGTTCTTTCCTTTCTCAATCTCTTCAATAGCTTCTGTGCATCCTTTAGTCCAGAAGACCTGATCAATAGCTAAGACTAACTGTGCTGGATTGGTAAAGAACCATTCTCTTCTCTCAAGAGCATCTTCTGGGTACTCTTGCCATGCTCCCTTGTTTTGATCAAAGAGAGATTTGACCATCATTTTCTCAATATTGGTAAGCCAGAATTCGACATTTCCTTCAGCCATTACTGTTTCTGAGAACTCAACTCTTTCACCATCTGCAGATATCATAGCTACAATTGACTTAGATTTCTTCTCCTCTGTGAAGACGATACTGGCCATGTTGTCAAAACATTTCCTTAAATGAGGTTGCACAGCCTGTGGGTTTCTTGTCTGGGACAGAATCTGAAGAAGTTCATCATTTGACAAGAAGTAGAATCTTGGGAAAGCAGCCCTCTTTGTCTCAAGATAGTCTTCCAAGCACTTTTGAATCTCTTCCAACATCTTATTGTTGTTCTGGAATCTCTTTAGTAATCCTTCTGATTCACAAGTATCAAGAATTGAAGGATTTCTGTGAGTCTTAGTCATAATATCTCTCCAGAATTTGTCTACTTTCTTGAATAACTTAGACTCATTTGGGAGTTGCTTCTGAATATCTTCAGCATTGAAGATGTTTTCAAGATACATCCATTGTCTCTGGCATGCAAGCCAGTCATCAATTACATCTGAGATATACGAAAGCTTGATCTGCCATCTATTAATAAGTTAGAGGATTTTAAAATCTTTCGAATATGAACATGTGCAATTAAAATGTTTGTAAAATAGAATCTTCTAGAAAATGAAAATTTTCATTTTTATAAGGAAAATTTATGAAGTAGACTTACTCTGTGACGTCTTCACGGATTTCTTTGACATTCTTTGAACTCAGCATTGTTTGGACTGAGACCTGGTCATCTTCAAGTTGAATCATGATTTCTTCAATTGTTCCAAGAATGAATTTATCTTTGAAATCTCTGTATGGAACAACAATGAATTCCATTCCTGCCCAAGTGGTCTTCACTTCTTCAAGTGCTTGGCTGATTGCATACTCTCCACTGGCAAGAGCTGAGATTTCAGCAACTTTTTCTTTGACTTCGAGGATACCATCTTTGATTAATTCATTTAAAGTGAAGGTCCTCGATGATGCATAAGCACTTGCTTCTGGAAGCAAATTGAAGATCTTATTCCAGTGCCTATCTAGTAAAGCTTTATTTCCTAAATCAAGGATAAGGTCCTTCATGCTGGAAGTTCCTTTAATATCATCATGAAGTTTCTCATAGACTTCATCAGGCCTCTCTCTTGGGAGGTTTTGTTTGAGCCAAGTTAGATCTTTTTCATATTCCTTCAACTTTTGTTCAATGGCTAACGAGTCTTGCCCTTGGAATACTTGGTTGAACCATACATTGTAGTCAGTATCCCAATCATTTCTCATCTTCCAGAGTTTATGTCTTGCTTCCCATTTCCTATCGAATTCAGCAATTTCAGGAATCTCTGTGACTGGCTGTTGGAGAACTGCCTGAGCATCCATGTTGTATTGAGCAGTTTTTCTTTCATTGTCAAAGTTCTTCTTGATTTTATCAATCAACTCTTTAAGAGCTTCTTCAGAAGGAGTGGTTACTTCAATCAGCTTATCTCTGTCTATCAAATCAATGAATTCCTTCATGTTGTTCTTTGTGTTTTCGATGCTGGAGTTGAGCTCGACGACTTTCTCATCAACCTCCCCCATTACTTCGGACTCTTTGTTGTTGATGCACTGGGTGCACTCGTCAAGCTTGGTTTCGATCTTGGTTGATCTGATCTGGATGGTGTGGTATCCTCCAGAAGTATCCTCTCCGAATGAGTTAATGTCCTGCTTAGACTTGTTACTTTTCTTAAGAATATTGATCATCTCTTCAATAGTGATCTTCTCATTGACCAGAGTCTTGTACTCATCCTTTGAAACGTTGAGAGTCTTCACATTTTCAACATATTCAGAGAGTGAAGTCATTTGAGCTCCTAAATGTTTGGTAATTTTCGTCAACCTGTCCAAGACATCCTGTTGTTTCCCTAAAATTAAGTCTTCTAAGTATTTTCTAATATTATGGAGGTTCTCTCTAACTTTCGAACTCAGATCATCTCTAAGAGTTTTTCCGTTTCCGTAGACAATTCCTTTAATAATCTGAGCTTTGATAACAGTAGCAACTCTCATTTCCCATTTTCTGTGTTTATCTAGATGCTCTTGGATTACTGAGAGAGGGTGACCAGCATTTTTGAATTCTTCAAATTTGAAATTCTCTACGAATTCATAGACATTTCTACATTCTTCAAAGTTAAGAGAGTCTTTGTGGAGCTGTTCGAAGTCTTCTTTGAATTTTTGGTTGATCTTTTCCTTGACTTCTTCATAATCTTCAGATGAACTAACAATAGTTAAGAAGTTAGGACCTGATTCAGCTCCAAATCCTTGGTTATATTGAGAGAATTGGTTGTTGTTGATGATTCTAGTTACATCTTTAGCAGTAGAAACCATTTCAGAAAGCATTGTAGTGAAGTGCTCCATGAACTCTGTGCTAGTGGGGGTAAACAACATTCCTCCCTCATTGCAGTATTTGATTTCTGTTGTGATACCAGCCTTTCTATCATCTTGACACATCTCTGCATAGACCATGTTTGCACTATCTTGGTTAATCTTTACTTGAGTCTCAACTACCATGTAGTCAATAAGCCTGATGAAAGTACCAAGATTTGAAATGTTCTTTTTGGCAATTTTCAAAACGTCTCTCTTCGTCTGTTCTTCCTTTTTCTGAACAGTCATTGCCTTATGTTTGACTTTCTGCCCAATCTTAGAATTTTCAAAATCTTCCTCATCTCTCATGTTCTTTGATTCAGAGACTTCGGTGGTGAGTTCGATCAGCTTGTTTGTAATATCTGTGATTTTATTCTCGTAGTGAGCCTTTGCCGCATCTCTACCGCCTTTTTGGTCATTGATGAAATCTTCTTCGAGTCTGTAGGTCTTTGTTTGCTTCGTCTCCTTGAAACATTTCACTTTTTGCATCTCATATAGTGTAGAGTTGATGTCATTGAAAGAATGCTGGAAAGCAGGCCTCATGTATTTCAAATTCTTTGAGAGTTTCTCTCTAGTACGGAAAAACTTCTTATATCTGACATTGGATTTCCAAGAGTTGAAGACCTTACCAATGAGATAGGTTTTAAAGAATTTCATTGATGTGAGAACATTGAAAAGAGTAGCCTCATGCATCCAGTCACTTGCAAACAGGAACTCTGTGGGAACCATATCTTCATCACTCATTCTCTTAGTATTCTTTTTGAATACATGGACAACTCCTCTATTTGAAATAGTAAAGTATTCTTCATTGAGCTGCTTCTCATCAAGTACCACCTCAAGGTCGTAAGGCCTGAAGACTGCTGGAGGTACTTTAGCTCTGTTACAATTAAAGATTTTAATTGGAGTGTTGTTTCCATGCTTCGCAAAGAAGGAGATTGCATCTTCTCCAGTCTTGATATTTTGCCTTTGCCTGTACAAAGGAGTATTCTTTTCAATAAACATGCTATTCTTAGCCATAGCAAGTTCATTTTCAGCCTTATCATCGACAGCATCTATCATCTCTCCAAGCTCTTGTGAATCAAGACTTTTCTCTGAGTATGCTTCTTCTCCTTCGCCTTCAGCTTCGTCATCGAATTCATCCATGCCTTCACCTTCTTCCTCTAAGATTTCTCTTTCGCTGGCTGACATATGACTAGGGTGGCTGATAGGCTCTAATTTGTTAGCCTTGGTGCCCATCTTAACGTTGACTCCTCCAACACTGACAACTCCTGGTTGGAATTTCTCTTCTTCATTATCCTTGTCTGTGGATACGATGGGTAAGGAGTACTCAGCAAGTTCAACATTTGAGTTGAAATGGTACAACTCTCTCATTCCTCTCCAGGATCTATCCTGTCTGTTATTTGTAATAAGGGCAAATATGTTCTGAGCTTTGTTACCTTTCTTGCCCTTTCTTTTCCTCATAGGATCGTCTCTGTTCATAGTATCCCTCTTTGAATCCTAATAAAAATTATATTTAAATTTTAATTTGAATTATTTATATGAATATTTTTACCAATGTGGGAAGAGTCACGGGGTTTTGGGGTTTTGGGGTTTTGGGGTTTTGGGG